CCGCACTGTCACCCGTTGCGTACCCTCTCTCTTTCTATCCTGATGAATGGCGTGACATGTGGATGGAGGGAGGATAGTACAGGCCAACGCTGGCTGACTGACTGACCAAAGGTTTTTTGGCAGAGGCCCAACTCTCGCCATTAGAGGCACATGGGGGTTGATGGATTGACATTGCGAGCGTACGCCGTTCCGTTCCGTGGAATAAACCTTGAATTTGTTTCCAGTGAACTTGACTTTTCACATTTCTGTGATGGCGTGATACTGTGATTGGTGTATCTTCCATTGTATGGAGTGTTGGTATGTATAGATTTAATGGCATATGCACAAATTGTATGCATTATTGTGTTATCTTTTCCATAATGTAGCTTTCGTAAGCCGGGTCGTTGGCTGCTTGAGAGTTTTATTTGCCGTTCGCAATAGGCATAGTCTGTTACAGTTTGCTTTGCACTTGCTACAGCTCTTCACTGAATAGGCTGTTCCAGTCATACTGTTTTATTCATACATGTACATTTGTACTTGTGAAGGATTTCTCCCACAAAATGTTGGTTCATCACAAACTTATCTGGATACACCTGTCATTTTGAAACATAAGAAATTGATACAACAGAGGAGCAGGACAGAAAAGAGGATGGAGCAGAGAAAATTCAATTTGCTACCATTTTTTGGTCCCTTTTCAACAAATTGCCTGTTACACAACTTATGACTGTACATACTTGATAGGGTAGGATATACTGTAGGCAAGTACAGTGTGAGTGATGTCATTTTGTAGTTTTCTTTTCTCCTTTTGAAATTTGTAGCCTTTCCTTATTTTTCTTTCTTCCTTTTTTACTCTTTTGCCACTTTATGCTTCCAGCTCTTTGTTTTTGTCTTATTAATTTTTGTTGTATACACCCTTATTTATTGTTTCTTTGTTCTTGGGTAGGTTATGCTTCATCTACAACTGTATGCATAGAGTACCCTTTCATTTTTTATTCTGTTTTTGTGTTTCTGTGAGAATATGGTACCATCCCTTTTTACCCTTCTTGGAAGTAATATTTCCTTGTTTTCTTCTAATTTTGCTCTTTCATTTCTCTCTTTCTCTTCCGTTCCTATTTCCTTTACATGTGTTTCTTGGTTAGTTTTCATATATTTTATAACTTTGATGTTTCAACAAATAATTTGGAAACTATACAATATTTGTTCACATTTACATTATAATACTTATCTGTTCAAGCATTTCCTGTTTGTTCTGTAATGGTTTCTGAAATGGTTTCCTGTTTGTTCTGTATGACAAACAAACAATAATCACCTTAGTACACAAGAATGATTTTTTTTTTTGGGGGGGGGGGGCAAGGAAAGAGCATTGGAATACTAGTCTTTTGATTCTCTTGTCATTAAAGGTAACCTACTGTATTAAAAGACTCATTCAGATTTTTTTCTGTTAACTGAAATTCTTCTAAAGATTACGCCTAAATAAGTGAGCCTCAACCATTGCAGTTATACCAAGTCTGCAATTCCTAAATATTTAGTATTTTGAGGTTTCCCCGAATTCTCAGAAAATCTTACCGAAATGTTTGTGATAATCAGCGAACCCTTTGTGCATGTACCGTTCGGATTGATTTTTTCCTACTGTTATTTCACGTTCTCATAAAAATACCTATCAATTTTCATGAAATGATATAGCAAATATACCCCACGGTGAGTGTACAGGCTCTTAGCAACCAGAAATGGTTCATCTTGACAACATTGTAAATATTTGATCTGTTACTATTTTTTCCCTTGGATAAGAAAATTTAATGACCAATATTGAAACCTACTGCAACCCATTCTGATTACTGGTACATACAGTACATACATCCATATATAGTCAGCTATAGTGGCTCCATTTGCAATCATGCATTCTACGATGTGTGACTATTTGCATACATAGGTATTGTAGCAAAGTAAGTAATCTAAATTGTGCTCAAACTATACAGGCTTTAATATTTGAAAAGTGTAGATCCAATTCCTTTGTGCTGGTCAGTTCTTTGTCCACATGACGTGGCGCGAGATCAAATGCATCGAGAAAATCCTTAGATTGTAATTGATGGTCATACCAGCAGGAAATATGGACCTTTCAATGGCTCGGATAAAGAATCGGTAGTCATTTTGAATAGCTTGGTTTTCACTGATTTGGTATTTTGAAAGATGCATATTTGAGATTGGTTATGGGTGCATTTCAATGGGATGCATAATCATTGGAGTATTAAAAAAAAGACAGTGCTGGTTATACATCCATGTAGATTTCCAATCGAAATAGCATGTTGATATTGTTGCTCTCCTATCAGTACAAACACCGGAATAGATTTGTCTTGGAAAAGGTTGAAGACCGGCCTACCCACTAATCCATCCAACATCAATCCAGCAAGGATTCTCTTATGAACTTGGAATGAGTTGAATGACTCCTAGCATGCATGTTATTCAAATCATGCTCACTGCACAGCACTCGAGCGAAATCCCCAAGCATGTGGGGAAATGTCAAAGAGATAAAATGTCATTATTCTCGATCTTTCAAAGCTATCCACATGGATACCTACATCATATGTGCGTCATTATCTCCGAACCCTCCTTTTGAGCTAAGTCAAGGATTCGTGAAATTTCTCTTCAAGTCAATTAAAAAGTCTTTACTCTAAATACCGGGTGCGTATCATGTTGTTTAATGCCAGATGTCATGCAAGTTCAGAAAGTCATTGCCCTTGAATAGGAACATGATGTCATTGATCCTCGGTGAATGTAACTCTTCATCGGTAAGCCATTCCATTGTCCCATTGTGCTCTCGTCTGTCTCGTTGGGTTTACGTACACTAGAGTTCAACAGCGCCGGTTTCACTTACGTTCAGGCATGTGCAATGTCAACGGCCGCTAGGCTCCGTTCCGCCGTTGTACGTCTCTCGGCTGTGTTTCGTTGTGCAGATCTAGGTTAATAAGGGTTCCTTCTCCTCGAACCATTCATTTCTTCCGCTAACTTTCTTCATATAATCAACAGGAAATTAGAATTGGAAGATCCGGCAATTCCACTGTAAGTAGGGGCACTATAGGGTACGAAAGGACGTTTGTTTGTATCCGAAAGCTGGAAGGAAGTGGGTATAAAGGTGAAGTAAAGGCACTCGTAGGCCCATTTACACAACCTTAAAGCCATTTTGAAAAACCATTAGTTTTTTGTTTTTAATGCCATTTACACTACTGAAAAACCCATAAGAAACTGTCGGTGTTTGATCATTTTTTTTTTTTTTTTACGACTTGTCGCTGCCCTGCATTGAGTTAGCATGGAAGCAAAGGGTAATCACCAGTGAAATTTGTGTCGGCTTTTAAACCAAAACGATTCCAGCGGTAATTTTTTTGGTTTGGGTTTACCAGTAGTTGTATAGCAACTTCCGCCAAAACACCGGACTGAGAAAACCAATGATTTTTGGTTGCATTGTAAATTTAGTTTACATATGTTTGCTTGAAAATGTAAGAAGGTTAAATAATTAGATACTCAATCACCCAAACCTAGAAGCTTCTTACCAGTTTTCCCATGATAAATGATTTGCCTGGGGCTTCACATAGTCCTATCCACAGAAACAAGTTGTGCTTCAATTTATTCCAACCAACTGCCCTCAAAAACCAGTTTTATTGTCAATAGTATGAAATATGGCATCTGTTTGCTAACACTACCTTCTCAGAAATGAGGTCAAGTTCGCAGAAGAATTTGTTGGCAAGCCAAGAACTCTACCCATTGAGAGATCGACCCACCTACAAGATTAATGAGTCATTATTAAAAGCTGAGAAAATAAGTAACTTAAAAAGAAAATAGAACACTGGCAAGAGAGAAGAAATTTCTTTGGTTTGTTCCTCGTTCCCTTTTTGTAGAGTAAATGGCGCGTGTGTTCTCACTGTAAAGGCCTTGACCCCATGGAGTGTGTACACTCACAATTGTGCCTTTCCGTTAGCGCAATTTAGGCCTTCTATTCTCTACATCCCCCCCCCCAATCTGCGTCATCATCTTGTTGACCTGAGGTTCACCTGAATGAGGTCAATTCTAATTGTTAGGGAGAAAGGCGGCAGGAGTTGGGTGGAACTGGATTGGATCCTTTCCACGTGTGTATGCTAGCTAGCTAGCGTGTATGTGTACACGTATAGGAAGCTAGCTATGCAGAGGCCATTTTGCTGGGGCTGGTGTACAGATAAAACCTGCATTCATGGAAAAGCTGTAGCTGTGTGTTGCTCCTCCGTACTGTGGTTTTAACATATGATTTGCATGAGGATAGCTACTGATACTGTGAGGCTACAGTGCAGAAAGGGATACAATGCATTTTCAAATGTATTGTAAATAATGACCAACAAAAAACGAAGTATTTGTGTTTGTAAATCACTGAGGAATTTTTGTTTCAAGTGATGAAATAATTCAAATAATTTTGAAGTACTTGACTATTCAATGTTAAAAGCAAGTAAAAGGGCATTTTCTTCTAACTAGTACCAACAAAAAAATAGCTTGTGATAATTGGAAAAGTTAGTCATTTCGTACAATTCTGGCATTTCAGAGACTTTGTTAGAGTAGTGGTAGATTTGTTTTAGGCTCTGTTTAAAGCAGAGCTTCACACTTGCTCTTTGTTAATAGGGGGGGGGGGGGGGTTCTGTTCTGAAATTTCCTGTGTTGTATGAATGGACTTTTAGATTTCAAAATGTTTAGGGTCCAGAGTTGTATGCCTTTGAACATGTGAGCCTTCAGTGTAGAGATTATGCCTTGAAAGGTTGTTCCTCTCAGAGCAACAGCCTTTCAGAGCACCCTCATCTTCACCTACATATATTACAAGAGGCAGATAGTATTTCACAGGTAATATTTCATTAGCCATGCAATTCTAGCATACAACTTGATACAGGCCTATAGTTAGTGGCTTGTATGTACATTTGTTTGTCCTCGTCCTGTCTTACTATCATACTGAAGCCCATGGTTGGATGATTGATGAGGAAAGAGACAGATGTATGCTTTGGTAACTAGCCATGGACTACAATTGTGGTCAACGACAGGAGAAGAAATGCATTCTTGTTTACTTCGCCATTCCCTCAAAGACAATTGCTCATCCACAATCAATCTTCATTTCACCTTGGTACATTGACCAAGCTGAGATGGTCAGAGCATGGTCAGAGGAGTGTTCCTATTGTCCAGGGTGTTCGGTTGTTGACAGGTCTAAAGAATATGGTTGCTAGAAATAGACACTGGCCAAGGGCAAGTAGATTTATTGATCAGCTTGGGCCTGTATATGAACAAACTTACTTGGACAAACAACAACTTAACCTGTTCTTACTTCTTACCATACATGTAGCATGCTTAGGGTCAGTTTGATTTGATTATATGGGTTATAGTTGGTTTATGACATAAATCATCCATAAAATTGTCAAAACAACATCTTTCCCCTTTGATGGTAAATTCTATAGGTTACTGGCTTTGGTCGTGATCACTGTAGCATTTCGATTAGGTTTGCGGCAGGGAATGAGGAGATAGGACTATACAGTGTTCATTCCAGGATTGGAGGAGCTAGCACTATGAATATGACTGACAAAGAAAGCGGACAAAATATACAGTTCCTCAGGTAGATAAAGGAACATCCCTTCACTGCTATTATGTCAAAATGAGTAGAACAGGTGTCACATGCATATTCACCTTTTTACATAATAGCAGTGAAGGGATGTTCCTTTGTCTACCTGAGGAACTGTATATTTTGTCCGCTCTCTTTGTCAGTCATGTTCGTAGTGTAGGTGTCCAATTTTAGAGATTCACCATGGAGCAATAATTGTAGGAGTACCATGAATATTACAAAAATGACAATTCTGACAGTGCTTGGATAATGTGGTTCTAATGATACCAACAATTATGACAAACAAGAACTGATATGAAACAATGCAGCTTTCAAGTTAATATACTTTGTAGCCCCCATTGAAGTTGACGTTCTGTATTTTTCTTATCTTTGTGCAGGACTGAATACGATCAGCAAGAAGCTTGGCCTACGACTGCTTGCACCTCGGAAGAAGATCAATGTTCTCCTGATTGGCAATCACTCAGCGGGAAAGAGCTCCTTTATCAACTGGTAAGATTCTCTCCTTTCCCTCAGAAGAATATCCCCTTTCATCTTGGTTTGTTCACTTCTTTCATTGGTCTGAAACACTAGCGATGTATTGATGGCTGTAGGGAGACATTTCTCTATTAACTAGTGAGATTTGCTTTAAATTTGGAAGTTTTGTTTTCATCGATCTCTGTTTGACAGTGGTAGCGTAATGGCATAGAGAAGGAGATCATTCAATGTTCAGTGGTGATATTTATTCAAGCAAAGCTTTAATTTCCTGCAAGATTTCTGTTTACCCTGGCTTTAAATATGGACTGATGGCTAAGGATTTAATATTAATTTGTTCTGGCAATGCTTCTACACCCACCATCCACCTGATTCCAACACACTTAGTAACCAAATAGGTAAAACCTTGCCATTACTTTCCTTCTCCTTCCAGCATATTCAATACTTATCTCTCTTCGTAGACTGTTCACTTTTAATCATGGCAAATGCTTACTATTGCATGTGTACCCTCTCCTTTTCCTTGTTCATATTAGCTCTGCCAATGGAACAATGTTACTTGAAGTTGTTCCCTTAAAGGTATTACAAAGTTTTGGTATGGGGTCATGAATTCGGTTCAAATTAAAATATTGGAAGCATATGCGTTCCTACAATATTCATTGATCGTTGTCGTGGTTGAAATCGAGTCTGAAGTTATGAAATTATAAATAATAAACTCTTTATGTTGTATAGCTCCCTCTCAAGTTCAAAATATTAATTTAGCTATGAAACAATGTTTCTTGACTAAAATCGACCGATTAGCTATTCCCGTTTGGAAATTATATATCACAACTACATATTCTGAAATTTTCATGGTCGAAGCTACCATTGTACGGCCATAGGCGCTATTTGAAATTTATCAAAATTTACCAGGAGCACCAGTAAATGTTTATATTCAATTTTTCTCGAAAACAGAAGTGTTTTAGGGGATAATTTTTTTAGTGCTTATTATACATCCACAGAGGCATCCAAATATATCAAAATTGTAAAGATTCACTATCCACCCAATTTTCAAAATTTCCCAAAACTTTGTATTACCTTTAACCTGGTTCTGTTGTTTCTTTTCAACAATTCTCTTTCTCTCAGCTTGACTGTCTAGGCATTTTGATGGTTGCCACATGTATCTTTTATGTGATGTTTTACTTTTCTTGGAATTGTCGTTTGACATTTTTCAGCAAAAATATGTTGTCACTTATTCAATTTTCTTATCCATCATGGTGGTAGGTATTATGGAAGAATGAAGGAAAAAATTAGAAGTAAAACTTTATCAACTGGGGAAGAGAATGTCAAGAACTGGAGTGGACTAAAACTGCAAGAGTGCGACAGAATGAATGGCAGAAGATAGAGTGAAATGGAGAGATGTTGCAATTAACCTCTGAACCGGGAGAAGATAGATAGATAGATTACAGGACATCATGATAAACATGTTGTCTCTGCCATTATTCGTTGACATGAGCTTAGAGATGGAGTACTATAGAGACATTTACCTCTCAGAAAGTAAAGCACAAACATTGTTAAGTATATCAGGTCAACATCGTTCGTAGGTTAAGGCCATTGCAGGTCTGGTCAAGATCTTGAGGACAGTGGTCAAGATGGCAATGACCTACATTGTAGGGCATACTTGTTCATAAAAGATGGTTGTGGTATTTCTTTCTTCAGGATGGCTCATATAAGAGATGGGGTGCAGACAGATTGTAAGGGATTGAACATTGTTCCAGATACAGTTATTCTCTTTCAAGTAAATTATAGGGTTTTCTTTTGTTTCATAGCTTCTTTCAATCTATCCCAGCTTTACAGCCTGTCCATTAGGTGAATGAATGGTGGTGAATGGACGACTACAGGCCTTGTCTTTGAACAGTCCTGAGCTTTTGTCAAGAATGGCAATGACCTGCTTTCACTCTTAGTGTACAAGCAAGTGATGGCCCAAGGTTGTCTAAGATTAGCTCCAAGACAGCTTAACAGCCAAAACAACAAGTCTGTGGTGCATTTTTTTCTTCAAATGTTTGTAATGGCCTCAGTCATCAAGATGAAAGTAGATCATTACACAAGCATGCCCTAGACCTGCTCCTTCTATCTGAAAATATATTTATTTGGTTTTCTTTTTAAGGCTGAAGACAGATGACCAATGACAATGCTGAGGTCAAGTAATAGAAAACAGACAGTTTGCTTGAGGTAACTCAGACAAGCCTTGAATTGACCTGAATTGAATGGTCAAGGCTGTACGAGGTCTGCCTTTGACCATTTCGATGTAGTCTTGATTGGACAGGCTTTATTTTCATTTACAGATGGAAGGAGGAAGATATGGCGGGAGGGTAAGCCTATGTCTTTGATGTGGACATCCCTGGAAACATCTAGGTATTTGAATAGCAGATTGCACTATCATTAAACATATTGACATGTGATTAGCCACAAGACTTATGTGATACAGTTCCAGAGATTGATAACATTTTGAATGATTGCTTCAACAACTTTTGGTCTGAGCGAAGAGACTAATATTTAGCAATGGCTAGTTCATAGCCAGCCATTGGCCGGACTGCGATGGTCAGTATTACATTGCCTGGTACACACGCTTCATGGCATATCCTCTATCTCATTTAATATTCTTTTGTTGTACTTTGTCTGGCAGCATATTCCAAAGGAGCACTAGACATTGGTCAGTTCTCCCTTTGGCTGAGGGGCGCTGTCCAACTGCATTGAGCTCTGCATGCGTCCAGTTGGTCAGTTTGTGTGTCCCCTGGACAAGACTTGAGTTGAGTAGCAAGGCTATGTGAGGCTTGTGTCCATAGTAGAGCGAGGCTAGCTGGCTCAAGGCTTTCTCAGGTCAAAGCCTTGTAGGTGATGAGGATTATTAATCAAAAAATGCTAACTGACCATGTGACCAGGGCCATGAACGTGATTGGAGGACCCCTCACAGACTCTCGTTTTGTTACGTGGAGATATAGGCGGGAACCTCTGCTTATTTTAGTCTTTCTTATTGTGTAGAGCTAAGAGTTTGGTCACTCCATGCTCATGCTGCAGCGTGTATTGCATGGGAAGGTCCCTCCGTATCAGTTGGTCATTGTGGCGGTGATCGAGGAACAACATATTCTTTCTTTTTCAACATTTTTTGTGCCTTCTGCGTTAGATCTGTTACCACAACCTTGGTGCTTCATTAGCGCAAGAGCTTGGATTAACGTGACCTGAAGTAAATTAACCCAGGTGCTGTGATAATTATTATATCTCATTTTCTCATTCCAAGTGCCTTTGTCTTCTGCCTGCATAGGATTCTTGGATGGGTAATTAAGGAGGAGACAACGCCCATTTATCGGAGGCAGCTTGACGATTGTTAGAGGAATATTTTGCTGGCTGGGTTATTTGATGTTGCGGAAATGAGATACTGATCTGCGGCCATCAGATCCTCAAGTTCACTACCATGCTTGAAATTTGATTATCTTACTTGTTAATCACCTTCAATCATATAAGATTACAGGGCAATCCTGCAACGGTATGAAAGTGTTGGTGTTGGTTTTTACGTTCCTTGCCTGACGTCGTGTTGCTTCATTGAATGTATTTATATGCCCTAGTCGTATATCTGTTTATGTTGCTCTGCATTTTCTTTGTTAAACCTGAATCTTCTTCTTCTTTTTTCAAGACATATTTTCATTGTATTAGTAATCTGAATGACTGTCTGTGAAATCTGTTTTGATTGTATGCCTTTTTCTATCTCATCTCTCCCCTTATGGTTCCTTTCTTTCAATGATTTGTTTCCTACTTGAATTTTGTTGGGGTGTTCTTTATTTTACATGACCATGTTATATCCTATTTTGATATAACTGCTTAAAAAGATATATGAAATTGTACGTTTTATCCTAGTTCTTACAGTTATGCCTGTATTTTATGCATTTCCTTCTCTTCTCTCTCTCTCTCTCTCTCCTATCCTATCCTATCCAATCCGCTTCTCCCATTTGTTTCTCTTTACTACCTTTTCTTTGTCTTTTTCCCTCTCAAGATTTTTGTTTTTGAACATTTTCTCTTTTTCTTTCTGTAGGTATGTTGAAGAACATGTTCAGAGGACGGGAGTGGCTATTGAGACCCAGGGTTTCTCCTTCATTACCAGTGGACGGAAACGGGAGTCACTCACGGTAAGAATTACCATCCACGTCTCTCTCTGCCTCTCTCCCTCTCTCCCTCTAACCCTCTCACAAAGGCAACATATTCTTCATACACTAGGTGTCTAGATGTCCTTTAATCAGTCAACTTAGGTTCAGTCTTCAAAGATCTTCTTACTTTCTGTGCTAGAAGTTTGTTTAAAGATGTGGATAGTCAATTGCGTAGCTGGAGTGCACAAAATGATCACGTGGAATGATGCCATACTCTACTCTGACATTACTGTATGTCTTTACATAGTGTGCTAGTTTGGGGGAAATGAGCCAACACCTAATTGATTTTGTTAATTGTATTGAAATTAGTAATTATTAGATGTATATACCAGCAGAGTCAGGAAACATGGACATTTATCATGAACAATTTTTGTAGAAGCTTTCACAGACATTTAGCTGCCCAGCAAGAAAAGTAATTTTGTATTACAATCTCTACTTTCTATTATCAATTTTATAATAATTTGTGAAAACCATGTAATACTAATGGGTTAGAAATCAAACAAAAATGAGCAGATTATTCTGTTTAGTTTGTATCATGCTTTTGCAAGGTATCTTATGATAATTTGGCAGGCCCAGGGAAATTGTGGCTGACCATATGGAATTGGTGAAATGGACAATGTCTGTCGTTGGCCACCAACCAGCGCTCTGACCATTCTAGCGGTCATCCTATTGGTCACTTTCTGGCGTGGGGTCAGTCGAGCTCAGACTGACTTGTGTCCATTCCATTAGCGATTGTCCAGAGTCCTCCTCCGGCCCGATAGGAATGAGTGAGCAAGCAAACGTTGGCTGCCCGTTGGCTGCCCGTTGGCTTGGCCCGCTGATGGTCAGCAAGCCCCTCCCCCTTCGCTCTGTTGAATGAGGAATTAACAGGCAGGAAGGTCAGGTTCTCAATAGGTGATGAAAAATAAGTGCAGTAACTTTGACCACATTTGTACCCCCATTCTTGCTCTCATATAAGCCCCTTTTCCAAATCTTACACAAAGGGCATTCATGGAGTTGAACATTGTCCTAATGAGCTGTCTAAATCCATTTTTCAAAAGACTTTTTGTTGATCGTTTTAAAGATGTGTAATTATTTGAATTTATCATTTTTATCCCCTGTAAACCTTATTCTAAAATCTTTTCTTCACTTTTTTCCCACTTTTTTTCCATCTTCATGAATTCTTGCTACTGAATCATCAGCATTCCATATTGGCTTTTCACATACTGATAGGAATAATGCTTAGAATTAATCTTTGTCAAAGATGTACAACAGGTGCTTTACCCCAAACCCTAAATGGAGGGGAAGTGTTAAATATGGAAGGTTTTACACAAGCTCAGTCTAGAAATATATGGTATAAAATAAATTAGGGTGTATCAAAAACCTCAATGTCGTGAAGTTTTCTTGCGAAAGGATAGTTTCTTTATTGGCACTAGTTTTCAGAATCTGTAAAAGATCAGAATATAATCTTTCCTACCTTCATCTCATGTCATCATCCCTTTGGTTTATTTTTTGTAGGGCCTACATTTTCACCCTCCCCCCCCCCCCCAAACAAAAATTCATTAACACCTGTCTGTACTCGTGCTGCACTGAAATTGTTAACTTATCGATAATGGGACTGCGAAAATCAAACCTGTGAAGGAAACGTTTTTGAATTTCACATTTTGCATCTTTGAAGTCTTTGATTAGTGAGATAAAAATCAAATTTAGAAACAACTTCCGATCTGAAATAGGTGGATTTGATCATTAACAGTGTTGAAAGTCAGTTCATACTTTCAAATTCATTGTTTTCACTTTGTCAGAAGTCCAGGACTCACCGCCTTGCAATCAACTGCGCTGGGTTTCATGATCTCAAAACCCTAACCTTCTAATTTTCCATCCTAGAAACATTGCAAAAGTCAAGATTTGGAAGGTATGAACGGACTTTCAATATTTTTCATTGATTGAAAGTTGTTTCATAATATTTTTTAGGATACCAATAGGATATTTTTAGCTCATTTTCCAAATGGCATTAGTATTTTTGTTTTCCTCTTTTAGTAAGAAAAAATGAAGCACCTCATTTTGCTTACATGTAGCTCCTACATTAGGCATATGTAGATCAACTCGATATAGATTTTATGCAAGTGACTTGATGGGGGGGGGGGGTGGGGAGAGAGAAGCAGTTCTACAGCAACTCAGTATGAGGATTACGAGGAGGATTACGAGAAGCATTAATGTGAGCTTAATCAGCTTTCTGCTGACATCGTTTGTTTGTATCAAAGGTGCAATGTCTATTCAGTCTTTTGCATTGTCAGGTTGAGAAAAGGGACCCCCCCCCCCCCCTCAGTCTGTACCTATAGGAGTTTTGGTGCACCCCTTGATTTCAGGTTACTTCATAGGCCAAGTTATAAAGAGTGCCCCCCCCCCCCTCCATTTCAAAATCCTGGATACTTTTCTACATTTAAATTAGCCACAGAGGAAATGAATATAAATTTATTTTATTTAAAAAAATGGTAATAATCAAGTTAGAATTAATTACTCAAAAGGGTAGTTATATTATTCCCCCCCCCCCTCACTTTTGGGGTATCATATTTCTTAGAATCACTGCACCTATACACATTTCTTTACTCATGAGAGTTAAAGAAGTAATGACCATATTTTGAGAAGGAAACCATTCAGGTAATAGTAAGTTTTTATAATCATAATCAAGGGATCAAATATATCGCTGTCTAGACGGTCTGTAGATATATGGCATATGAATAGATAAATATCGATCACAAAAAACACTTTACTTGCATAAAGGTGAATTCGGATTATCTAGTATTAAAACCTTTTGGGTTTCATATCAGGCCGGCTCAGACGAATGGCCTCGCTTCATATATGTATCAGTTGGCTGAGTGGCGGGCAGGGAAACCATTCACCTTCCATGTTTTCCATGTTTGCAGGCCAATCGGCCCCCCATTGTAAAGCAAACTGAGCGCCAAGGTTGTCTGGCTGAGCTGGCGAGGGAGAGAACTGCCCTGGCATGGCCTGGACGTTGGCTGGACACTGGCTGGACATTGCTCTATATAGCTGGTCATTACATAATGACTGGCATGTTATGTCCAGCTACAGTGGGCGAGTCCATTTGAGCAAGACTATCCAAGGCTAGGGGAGGTTGGCAGAGTTATTCTGAGAGCGTAGGGATAATTAACAACACATTATTTATTATATGTCTTTAATTTCCCATTTAAACCCTTAATTTAACTTTTTGATTGTTATTGATCATTTCAACAACAAATTTAATCCTTCATGATTTTATAAGCCTTTTGATATTATTAACATCATTTGGAGGCAATTTTCAAGCAGTTATCAGGAATTTTATTACAGTGGATCAGGGTATATTATTGCATTTAATCTGTTTAAAAAGAAGGTTGAGTTCTGGGAAGAGGTGAAAATAATTTGTGAGCATTATCATTGTTATTATGCAAGTGTGGAAGAACATTAGAGAAAAAATGTCTCCTGAAAAGCATGGCTCGATCTTCAAATGCTTTCATATTCTACAATCTAAATATGGCATGTAACAACATAAAAATCGGAACAGATTTTTATGCCAAATTTCCGTGTAGCCCCGTATACATCTTTCTGTGTACAGTGCTTGTAACTTTACCAAGACTGGGCCCAATTTTTTATCATTTTGATGATTCCCAAACCTTGCAGTACACACCAATACTTAAAAAGCAAGATGATCGACATTTTCTGATGATTCCACACTGTTTCTTTCACAATGCAAAATTTTCATGACCAAAACTCAACTTTACTAGTGATAAAGTTATTTATTAATGGATCTTTATTCCATAGAAAATACATTTCATATGTCTTTCATAAAGTGGCCTTAAGGCTTACGAGAAGATTGTCAATTTCACCTTGTAGGCCTATAAAAATATAATATATTTAGATTCATATGTAAACAGGGCTTAGGGCTAAGAGGACAAATATTTGGAGTCAATATTCAAGCCCTTGTTTGATAATGTTTTATAATTTCATTACACAAGGAAATGAGAGATGTTAATGAGTCATCAATTTTGTTTACCGATATGAAAAGAAAAGTAATTTTACAGAAGGTAGCAAGACCATCTACTTTTGGATGTGTAATAGTTTCTTTTCATAACATGTTTATTAGCAATATTTTATCCCAGTCTTTACATCATGAATATTCAGCGTACCAAACAGATATTCTATTTTTCTCTAGAGGTGCTCTGTTTGTACACATTATTTATTTCATTTTCTTGAAATTTATCTGTTATGTTGGTGGGAAGCAAATTTTACGATATTTGTAGGCAATGAATCAAGTTTTCACTACACAATTCAAATAATCACTTTTGTCTACAGAGCTATATTGCAAGCCGAAATGAAATTACAATTATTCATTACATTTTACTCATTAACAATTCAAGCGGATATAGATCATGTTCTACAGACATGACTTGCCCAGCTAGCTAAGATATGAGAAATGTCTTGCCTCATGTCTAGAGATGATATTCTTTTCCAGATATGTTACATAAGGAGCTAATTTTTATGAGCCATTCATTCTGTATGCATTCATGATACAAGAGTGTGGAGATAATGTTCTGTAGAGACATGTTTTCTCCCTATCACCAGACCAATCATTTGTTACCTCCAGACAGGTATTGTATCACACTCAAGGCCAGACAATTGTGATTATGTATGCCCCTCTGATCAATTATCTCTCCCACACCCCTCCACTGAATAGTAGATTAACCATACCTGCCAATCATTTCAACAAACAGCCAATCAGGAGGCAGGGTTAGACCTTCATGCACCAATTACAAGCCTCTTTTTTCTTATCTTACTTTAGAAGGAGTGGGGGAGGGGCTATTTTTTTCATTATCCTGAGCAGGAAATAAAATGGAATGCAAGATTTGAAAAACAAAATTCCAAATGAAGAAAAAAAAGGCTATATACATTTAGTTTATGATACAGTTTTCACCACCTTAATCTAAATTATTTGTAGTTATGTAGTATCCCAAAGTATCAAAAGCAAAATTATTTAATTTTAAAAAATTGTTATACAAATGGGTATGATTGGATCTCCTCTGTAAAGGGAGTATATTTATCTTAATAAAGAAACACCCTCAAACCAGTGATGAGAATGTTTTAAAACCATACATGTATGATGACATGGACTTAGATATATTCAATCTTTTCATTTTGCAATAGAGTATCATACGCATGTATGAAGCTATTTCATGTTTATCATGCAAATTGTTTTTGGAGCTCCTCTTAACATGCCAGCAAAATCCATCACCCAGAATAACTTCTGCCCCAATTAAAGAGCCATTTGTGAATGAGATAATATAGGGACAGGGTGAAGCACCAATGTGTGACATGCAGTATGCTATACAATCTTATTAGAGAGGAGAGGAAATGGAAAAGAGGGCTCTTGCAGTCAGGTTGAATATGTCATAAGGGATGGGGCGGTGGTCTAATAGTAATATGCTATCACATTTTCTGGAATATCCATTTTGTTTTCTTCTTTAATCCAAATACAGTCTTGGATCTATTTCTGTGCAGTAACATTTTTATTTAGGATAGAGATATATATTTATTGGAATGGTGTTCAAAACGTGTGTTATAGATATATGCCCTCCCAGTGCTCTCACAGTGATGATTTAACAAGAATTAGGATTAGAATTTGGAATTACATATGTTGTCTTTTATTTTCTTTTGATAAGCCACATTCATCCTTTAACTTTGTAATGCTTTGTTTGTTAGAAAGCAGGCAGACTCCTTCTTGTGTATGCCTGTGTGAGCCAATGTCCAAGCACCAACATGTGCCGCTAATAACATTTACATTCTAGCAAGAGCATGAAGCTTGTGAAGATGTACCTCCTCCTCCATGTAACTCACACCCAGCCGTAGCCCACTCATGTGATGCACATGTAGGGGTTTGTGTTGCCAGAGGGCAAATGTAATACACCTAGACAAACATGTTTTCCATTCTGCTGCCTCCCAATAGGAGCTTGACAATGACTGGAGCTCAAGCAGAAAACTCGACTTCATAGTTCATGTATTTTATGTTACTTTACACTATGGTGATAAAAGTTGTGGAAGGAAGTAGGGTACAGATTGATGTGTTCTTCATAACTTGGGTTATTGTTTTGTAGATAAAAGGAGAAAAGGATGGTGTAGGGAAAGAATGCTCAAGGAGGGAGGGGGAGTAAAGAGGGGGAACCCCATCTTCATCAGAGGCTGGTCTGTGTTTTTTGCACTGATCGTACAGGTACTCTTGTCTATTTCAAGTTCGATAATTGTTTTTCGAACTTTACAGACAAAGATGCATTTGTCAAATTTCATATTGTGATATATGGCATCTATTAGGACCAGATGCACATCAAGGAACAATTTTTGTATTTTAAATCTGAACATCTTGAAAATTGTTTTGTCTTTATGCAGGGAAATGCCACGCTCCACCTGTACCCCCACTTCAAAGAGCTGGCCAAACTCGAAGGTAAGTTGTCTCAAAATGGCTTTTTCAAAAATCGCTGTAGTTTTTGAAAAATACATTAAAGGTACTAAATTACATATTTGAAATTGTCATAAAAGTAGTCAAATTGTTTATCAACTTGTCTTACCACAAAAGACACATTGAAAGTTATCACTTTTAGGTGTGATTTTTTTTAAAACATGGAATTTCAAAAGTTAAATAGTACCTTTAATAGTATTCATAATGTTTGTAGTATGAAAGGCTTGGAGGAAATATGGCAGAATTAACATGAAAAGGAGGATGTCAACAAACCGATGTCAGCGGTGGGATAGACCTGTAATATCCAGTCTATATACGCTTCATCTGCATGCTGATATGTAAATGTTGAGATTCAATGACTATCAGCTGCCCGGTGAAGTGTATAGAAACTGGTAACATGCATCAAGACTTCCCTGGATCTGTAGGAAGGCGTGTTCAAATCACTCTGAAAATATGTTTATGATATGGTTTTCCTGAAATTCTACTGCAATTGCCAGTTGTGTATGTAGAGTTTTTGTTGCTGTGAAGGAGATACATGTTGGGTTTTAAAATGGTATTCTCCACCAATGTACTTCACATCCTTGACCTTGGTCCATTCTAAATAAGAAACGGACATTGCTGCTCCTCTCATTATCAATCATTTTCTCTTTTCCTCTTTCGCCATCCATCTCACCCTGTCTCTCATTCCCCTCTTCATCTCTGCCTCTCCTGTTCTTCCTCTCTCCTCTTTTCCTCCTTTCTTTCCTCTTTTCTCTCTTTTCTCTCATTGTCCTTCCCCCTCTTCATCTCTGCCTCTCCTTTTCTTCCTCTCTCCTCTTTTCCTCCTTTCTTTCTTTCATATTTTCTTCCCTCTTTTCTTCCCTCCCCTCTCCCTTCCCCTTCCTTTGTATATGTCCAATAATCCACTACTTTAATGTGTGTGCTTCCTGTTTCTTATAGTCACTCTCCTTCAATAGTGAGGCACATGTATTAATCAATTATTATCACACAATCAAACATAATTCAGATCATTAATATCCCCCTTATAGAAACTTGACATCACAAATGCATTGCAGCTGGAATCTACAATTTGATTAAAAACTCAGAATCAAGTTTCTGCAGACAATGAAAATGTTGGGTGAATAACAATTTAAGCATGCGAGTTGCACTTTTGAACTTGACTGAATCGAATTATTCTGCTCTTTGCCCAAAAACACCAACTATTAGGGTATACTTTCCCCTCACATTGTGGCTTTGTTTACATAGGGTCTGCGGAGTTGAGGGGTTGTTGGATTGTAACATGCTTCAGACTGGAGGCAGACTTCTAGTCTGCTACGATTGTCGGCCTGTGTTGTTGCGTTAGTTATGATGCCGCTTGGACCTGGAGCCACCATGACAGAATGTGCAGACTCAGTTTCTTGGGCTGGCCACATCACTAGTTTGCCATTATGGATATTACAAATATGACTAATACCCACAAACTTCACTGGCTTCAACAAAATGATGCTATTGAAAGGAGGATTGATTTTTATTAAAAAGTAAGAATAATAAAGAAGCCAAAACAACAATCCATCTGGGTTTTAAATTTGTCCAATGTGTCATATGAGAAAGCCTTTATATATGATGCACCATATCATCGACTGTCCTGTCTTTGTCTTTCCATTATCGCGACCAGATAGAAGGCATTATTTTGATTGAGATGAGACATAACAATTTGAGATATGCTTTCATTGAAGCCTTGTTCATATATGACAAGTCCCAACCACTGCGTTTTTTAATGACGTAAACGCCTCACATTTCTCTAACATATAACACAGAGCTCACTGAGTTCATGTATATACGCGCAGGAGCTTTGTTGCACACAGTTGCCATTCATTTACACGTTTAAGAAAAACTTGACGTCTTTTTTGCAGTGGTTTACCGCATCATATCTGAAGTTCTGAACAAGCTTTTAGGGATATAATTTACAAGTATTCGTACCTGAAAAAGTATGGAGGGGAAAACTACTGAAAAAACACAAATCATTATTAAATGTCAACGATGGCCAATGATATAGCAAGAAACATTTGTGAATAACAGTTTCACAGTTATGTTCAGTTATTTCTGAGATTTGGACCATTTGTATTAAAGTTTGATTCATGCATTTCAGGGTTGATGGTGTGGTGCTAGAAATACATCCGTATTGTTTTCATGATAATAACAAAATATAAGAGTTCTGAGGAAGTGTCTTCCACTCAACGTGAAGATGACAGCAATTGACGAAGCTGTCATTGATGTCTACTGTTCTACGCCGCTACATCTAGTTGCATTGTGACGTCTGTTTCAGGGAAATGCAGCATGATGTAGTGGTGTAGCTCAGTAAGACCATTCCAACCAGCCGGCATCGACACCCTTTAGGTCATCTTTCAACAGAATCTTAGTACAGTCAAACCTGCTTTAGTGACCACCTGTCTACAAAGACCAGATATGTTGTTTCCCTTGAATATGGTTTCTCATTGAATCATGTACTAAAGGTACCTGTCTACAATGACCACCTGTCTAGTGTCTACAAAGGCCACTTTTTATGTTCCCTTGGGTGGTCGCTATAGACAGGTTTGACTGTATTCTAGTGTGTTTTAGATGTTTGCCTCCTCTGTATTTAACATGCTGTTTTTCCATCCTGCAGGAGTGGTTGAATACCTGAACACGGAGGTGATCACATCCAAGCAGAAGAAGTTCAGTCTGGTGACCTTTGTGGACACCCCTGGTCTGGTGGACGGTGACATGAAGTACCCCTTCGATGTGGAGCAGGCTATCCTGTGGCTAGGTAAATCAAGGCAGAGTTTAATGTTTAATATCATCTGTTGAGAGCCAGGAGGATGTAAACTATGTTGAACACCCTTCTGGCGCTCAATAGATGATATATCAGGCTTTAGGGCTCAATGTTAACATATTTTCACCCGGAAGTTAGGGCGGGGCGGGGGAGGGGGGCAGGGGTTTGGGTGGACATTCATTAGGTCTCTGGCCGTGGGACTCCTATTTAATGTCAACATTTGGGGCATCTGGGCATTTGGGAGGCCATGTAGACCGGGCACCATTTAGTGTCAAGCCCTGGATACGTTTCTGTCTTGAGTCACTTCTTGTCACAATCGATATCTGACCCTACGACCTTTATTATGAATCATGCATAATCTTTGTTGAATAGATAGAAGAGGAGCCATGAATCATTGTTATAATCAAAATAGATACATTAACATCAAAGTTAACAAAGACATTATTCCTTAAAACCTTTTTATCATAATATACTCCATGAAAAGACTAGGAGGTACAAAGAATGAAGGATAATATATTACGGTAATGTTCAATCATTACTTGGGATCTAAATTATAGTTTACCTTGCTTCAGCTTACTGTATTATTTTGTTAGGAAAAGACTACATTGCTATTTATCAACTAAAAGTAGGGTAATCGATGAGTGACATGTACACATGTTTTTATATTTCAGCTATGACTCATCATCTTTATGTCACATAATGACATTGATTGTGTTTCAATGGATGAACCTGTTGGCCTTTCATATGCATTATCATTATGTCAATATTGGGTATTGTTGTGTTCACATTGTAAAGTTTTTGCTTTATTTCACTTCTGTGGTTGAATACCCAGAATAGTCCCTAAAGGTGAAGGAAATGGAAACAGTCCCTGTATTTCATTCATAGGTATTTATTACACAAAGGCCTGGAATCATTGCTGACAATTTTAGATAGATAAAGTTCACTCCGCTTTTCAAATTCGTGATGGTGGAGCAGTGATGTTACCATCCATCTGTTTGGGTAGAATACGACTTGGCAAACCCTCCATTGTAGATTTAGCCTGGGTCTTTGTTTATTCTTGACAGAGATATTTTCTGAAATAATACACATGAGCGTCACATTTGATCCCCATATCAATAAAAATGTCAAATTCTCTTTATTCTAGTGTATGGGTACCTTGGGCTAGGCATAGTAATGTTGGGTTTATGGCTTCATCATTTTGAATTCTGTGTAGGAAACCCTTGATTTACAAAGAAAATGGGATATCACTCCCTTTCCATTTCTTTTCCTCCTATTCACACCCTTTCTGCCACTCTCTATATAAAGATACATTTACGCAATTGTAGGGTAGATTTGTTTAATTGTTGAGCCTACCAACGTCATGTCTGCTTTCTTCAGCCTTCAGACTGTGACGCAATTCAGATTATTTGGATCACCACCCACAGACAAAGAGCAGACGCCAAAGATAGAAGACTTTACATGATGTATGCTGGAGAGAGAGAGAGAGAGAGAGAGAGGGAGAGAGTTGGTAGACAGACAGAAAAGGGGAGAAAGAGACATTGAGTCTGAATAGAGTGGAAAAAGAGATAGAGGTAGAGTGAGATGGAGAGATAGAGATGGAGAGAGAGAAATGCATGCAAAAGAGAAGATGTAAGAGATAAATTAGAAACAGATTCAGGAAGAGCAAGACTAATAGAACACAGGAGGTGGAATGGGAATGATTCAGCAAGACATTGAGATATAAGGAAAAAAAGACAATAGGGATTAAAAAGGGAGATATTAATGATTGATAGACAGGGAAAGAGAGAGAGAGAGAGGGGGGAGAGATAAAGAGAAAGTTTCATAGGCATTCATTTTTTGACAGAGAGCAAGGAAGATAAGAAATAAGAGAAGCTTAAGAGAAGAACAGAATAATGAAAAAGAAAGAGTGGCCTGGCAGGTGTTACGAGATACCTTTATCTAACAACACCCCAGAACTCGGTCTCTATTGTGTTGAAGAAACAAGTTAATTGAAATAAAACATTCTTCAATTAACCATTACTATCCCAAACATGACTCAACATGAGTTATCAATAAAAACGTCCTGTCTAATCGAAAAGAGAAAGAACCAAAGAGAGCTTTTGTTTAAAAGAAGATCTTCTTTAAAGACAATGGATCGTCAACATGATAGAGTAGATAGCTTCTGTAACTGCGATAATAAAAAAAGAAATGAGTATCGGGATGCGGCTATAATTGTGGTTTTTAAAATACATTTCGCAATATAATGAGATGATAATTCTCATAATTATATGCCTCCAGACAGTGCCATATATAGCTGTCGGGCGGCTACACATCTATTAGTTACCAGCATTACAAAATGGATAGAAGTATAGTCATAATTGCTACAACTGTAGATAAAATTAGATTGGAAAGATTTATTTATAAGAGAGAGCTACTCTTATTGAAATATGCCAAGGAAATTTTTTTTTTTTTGAGTTGTGAAGAGAAAGATTTTTGTTCACTGTATTCACTTTCTATGTAGTGTAGTAATTATAATCCTGTCTAATTATAAAAAAATACCAGAATATAAACAATGAGATGAATTAGTTTCCTGGACATTAAAATCTAATTTAAAAAAAATTCCATTTCCTTACTGGTCCAAAATTAGGAATTGCTATGTAAATATATTTTTTTTAGTTATTAAGATTGTAATCAATCATACAACCACTGATCATCACACAACTAATTTCATAGCTTTTCTTACTGTGCATATTTTCTCACCAAGTTAGCGTCTTGATTACCGTTAATACGTAGGCGATGCCCGTCATCCATTCCAAATTGCCTCGAACTCCAATAGGACAGCAATGTGTTTACCCGATTGCATATATCCTAGCCATGGTTCCGACATCAGTTCTGTTATGTGGGTGAGGTTTATGCCGGTTGACAATTATTAGCATTTTTGAGGGGGCGTGTGTGTATGGATTGGTAGGTGAGAGCCTGAGAGGAGCCGAGTTTGGTCTGGGATGCATGCATTTATTTACATCTGTGCTGTGTTGTAACGCGGCGACGATGGAGAAACCAGGATGTTGCTAGGGTGAGCAGATGGTGGGGCTTCAGTAGGGTTGATCTAGGATTGGGGTATTGAAACCATTTCTGTTCTTTGGTCTTTCTCCTATAATAACAGGGCTGGGATAAGGGTTAGTTTAATACACCCTTTATTCAATTTGAATTGTCAAATGTCAATCCGCATTCATAATGTGATTTAATGTGTTAAGTGTCAGATGATCATTAATGCATATACCAGGGCAGGTGTGCATGTACTTTAACCCGGAGTTAACACCCATCTAACTCGCAACATTTATATAATAATGGCAGCTTGGATAAAGGTGATAATCATTCCCAAGGCACTGTATCATTTATTAGAGCCACAATGGCTTTAACACATTTACATTAACACCAAGTGAACACATGGTGGCTTCAAACCAATCAAATTAAACATGTGCTGACGGTTTGTGTGTACCGAAGGCCTGATAATATGATATGTCAAAATGTCTGTTCAGAGCCAGTAGGGTGTTAGATGATAGAGTTAATGCCCTTCTGGGTCCAAACAGATAATTGTGTGCTTCACTGAAACAGAATATATTCAATTTTTCTTTAAACCATCTTTCTCTTTTATATTCTGTATCATTCTTCAGGTGACCTCGCTGACCTGATCTTTGTCTTCTTTGACCCTATCGGTCAAGCCTTGTGCAAGCGCACCATGAACCTGGTGGAGAAGCTCAATGAGAAGCATGCTGACCGGGTCAAGTTCTACCTCACTAAGGCTGATGAGGCTGGACATGAGAGTGACCGACAGGTAAGTTGGACATTGCCATCCCCTTTTTTCACAGTGAGGAGAATGGTCAACTACAAGACATCTGGTCAGAGACAGAAGGACGTTATCTGTGTTTGAGTTAACACCCTTCCGACTCCAAACAGACGATATATCAGGAATTCTGAAGTATGCATAGCTCAATGTAAAGAATCCTATATAACATGATTGTGAAATACTTTGAAAGATTTGAGAGATTAGATATGTAGAGAATAGGCCATTTTCGTAATGTAACCAAATTTAATGCATAAGTCTTTGTGAAGTGCCTAAATACAAATTATTTCATTCACCTGGTAAGAATAATAGTATTTCAATAGACATAATCCAAACAGCATACATAAGTTGTTGCCAGGTTGGACAAACATTATGGCTTGACCTACCTAGCAACACTTGATATATGCAGTTTGCATTCTGACTATTGAATTACTATTATTCTTATCAGGTGAATGAAATAATTTGTATTGAGGCACTTCACAAAGACTTGTGCATTAAATTTGGTTACATTACGAAAATGGTCTATTAGAGAACAGTACAAGAGCACTTTTGCTGCTAATATGTGAGAAGAAGGACAGGCTCATTTAACATGTTGACTCCTGAACCACCAGGTTCCAGTAGGCAAAGGGTTAACCCTTACTGTACTGGGCTATTTTGAGCACCCACTGACTGGGGGGGGGGGGCCTGGGAGGCCCCCCCCCCCCATGATCTCGGCCGTCGATTGTCCGATGAACACGAAAATTTGCATGTTTGTAGATATTTACGTAAGGAACAAGATGGTATAATTAGTTTTTTCCGAATATGCAAATTTTTGTCGTTAGCCTAATTAATTATGCAAAATGCACTAATTTTATGCATTTTACCGAAAATGTGTCAAACTCCACTTTTTGAATGTTGAAACTCATTATTCATATGAAACTTCTTTTCTAACACAAAAAAGTTATTTTAATGTAATTAATAATGATAATTTATGCAAATTTTGATGCGATTTTCATTTTTTTTTTTTTTTTTTTTGATGACATGCGCATACTAACTGTTATGTAACGCCTTACAGGTATATCCGATTTCGACGAAAATGGTATCAAAATGTGCGTAAGACTTGAGGGGAAAAAGTCATGAAAGGACAATTCAAAATTCTAAGCGGTTGCGGCGCAATCTCCGAAAATGTCGAGGGGGGGGGGCCTCCCAGGCCCCCCCCCCCCCCAGTACAGTAAGGGTTAATGGACTTAATAGACAATTTGAAGACAAATTGAATAACCAAGTCAGAGGGATTATACCTCCCTGCATGTTCACTGACAGGTGGTTATCTCATCAAATCAGCTCTCAATTAGAGGATCATGGGGGACCAATGGTCAGTGATTAGGTATTGTTTGCTATATATAGAGGGCGCAAGTAGCTATAAGTAGTGCTGTTGGGCTTTAAACACATTTGTTAAAATCTTGTTTTTTAATTATTTCCTTTCTGCAGCGTGTTTTGATGCAGATTGTCCAGGAGTTGTGTAAGAGACCTGGTCTAAACCGTGCTGGCTTCAACATGCCCACCATCTTCATCCCAAGTATGTCATCAGGAAAGGTAAAATAAAGAAAAAGAGTCTTGTTTGTGGGTATTATTAGGCCTAAAAAATGATGTTGTAATGCCCTATGCGACCAACCCAAAAATCTTTAAATATATGGTAGGCTATTTTTTTTTTTTTTTTAAACCGTTTTTCAGACAAAAAAAATATGTATTATAGAGCATTAAAAACTGAGAAATATCAGCCCAAAGAGGGAGGGGGGGGGGGGGATTTCCGACCGACCAACCCATGTTTGGCACCTAAAGGGAATGCAACATCTTTTTTTTTTAGGCCTTATGAGAAATGAAAATGCATGACAGATTCCTTAGAAGGGCTTGGTCATGCATTGATTATAAGTAAAACTGATTCCAATCAAACTATAGGTAGGTGGAGTTGATCTGTGCTCCATTTAATTTTGAGGTTGTACACACTACTGTTCATTGAGCAGCTTCTGCAAAAATGATCTGTATACATCAAAGTCATTATTTGACCATTTTAAATTCCTATGAATGATGATTTAAACATAGTAAACATGAAGAGTTGTTATAAATATCTGTTTCATATCATCTGACCTTCTCTCATTTGATGAGAGGTTTGTAGGGATATTGAGAAGAATGTTGAAATGAAGATTAAATGGAGAATTGCATTGTTTTCAGTATTTCTTGACCTTTTTTGCATGGACTTGTTTCCTCTGTATAGAATCGATGCGTGAACCAGATAGAGGAGGTATGTAAGGATGTAGAGAAGACAATCAAACATACTGTTCAGAACACGCTCAACACACTAGAGAAGGACTGTGAACACATCGCTAAACTCATTGATGAGAAGCTGGAAAACGACAGGTAAAAATCTTCCCATCTCTGTCTTTCAATCCGTCTGTATGCCTCCATTCATTCGTTTTGTCATTTCTTTCCTCTTGCTTTTTTTTCTTTCCTCTTGTGCTCTTTGAAAGTTTTCAGAGACAAAGATTCTTTGTTGATGTTTCGTTATCCTGGAGAAGAATTCTCTCCCATCTCCTTTACACTGCCCCAACACAATTTCTCTGTTTCACTCTTTCCCTCTCTTTCTCTCTCTTCCTCTCTCTCTCTTCCTCTCTGTTTCACTCTCTTCATCTCTCTTCCTCTCTCTTCCTCTCTCTTCCTCTCCTGTGTACAACAAATAAATCAAACTTCATTAGCTATCATCCCATAAACTATTTGTTGGTATGATTATAGACCCCAAATTTTATTTTTTTTAAACTGTCCATAAGAAATTTATGTGTGACCACAGAGTGAAGTATAACACTTGTCAATACATTATTTACAATATTGAAAATAGAAGTCAGATTGCTTTCATCTTCTCAAATCATTTCTCCTACATTTTTAAACCAAATCTCTTCACTTTTGTTTTTGTTGATAGGCAAGCCAATTCCTACAACCTTTGGGCCAGGGGTAAATCACTCATCTTCTACGCTTTGGGATTGTTGCTTCCATTTCTTCTCTTCATCAACTTCTTGGCCAGTACAGTGTCTGATGAGTTCACCGCAGGAATGCTAGGAGAAGAGGGAGCTGCCATGCTTAAATCATACTTGGTAATGAGACTTTGAGGGTGGTGGTGTGGTGGTGATTGTGGTTAGGAGGGTGGTGGCGATGATAATGATGACATTGGTATTAGTGATGATGATGGTGGTGTTTCTATTTGGTGATGGTGATGGGGATAATGGTGATGAAGATAATAAGGATGGTGTTGTTGGTAATTATGAAGATGATGATGATGAAGAAGATGATGGTAATGGTGGTGATTGTGACGATGATAATAATGATGACTTTGGTATTAGTGATGATTATGATGATGGTGCTGATTCTAGTTAGTGATGGTGATGGGGATAATGGTGATGAAGATGATGATGGTGGTGGTGGTTGTGGTGATGAGGAGGAGGATGATGATGATTGCGGTGGTAATAGTGGACAATCACATCAATTATGGTAAGATGATGTATGTGATGGTGAACACCAGTAACTGCTTCTATTTAGCTTTCCCCCCATCATATTAATTTCTATATCCTTCTCAATTCTTCTTTTATATTCCAGAGTCCTATAGGAGGTATCTGGCAGACCATACCAGTTGAAAACCATCTTCATGCTATGATAGGCATTGCTGTTATATGCTTCCTGCTTCTTCTGTTTGCTAAGCTCTCTACAAGGTGAGTCATTCAACTATGTACAACCAGGGGGTGTCAAAACGATCATAAGTCCAATTTAACTCTAAGTTGGACTTAAATATCATGGAGAGCCATTTGTAGCCTTCAAATAAAATATTTTCAAAATCAAAAATTGCTGTATTTAAGACTTTTCATAAATTCCACATAATGAACATGAAATCTCCTTGAAAATATGAATGATTTGAATCAACATTTTATGCTTTTTAAATTAACTTTTACAAAATGTTTTCCAAGATACTAGCGGCTTTCCATACCTGTTAAGTTCAACTTAGAGATAAGTTCAACTTGGGATCTTTGTGAAACACCCCCAAGGTTCATTTAAAGATCCATGGTTGTAAATCCTTCAAAGGGATTATTGGGTATCTTTGTCTCAGATTCTAAACAAAATCCTGGACTTAGCTCATGCTGCACTCATAGATATATACCTTTAGGTCAGTCGGGAATCCCATGATTTTCACAAGCAGATGGAGTATTGACAAGCCCAGAATGTCAGATCAACAGGTGCAGTGTTGTGTATGCCCTTTGCATAAAGATGGCGGGTGCCGTAGCTTGGACCTATGATGATGCATGTAGGTTCATTCCTACGCCCATCCACCTGATGCAAAGCAAGTCTAAGAAAATGCTTTACAACCCCTAGCTTCATAAGAAATCAGCTTTTTTTCTTCTTTTCCATCTTATAACCCTTGTCAAATAGTTTCACAATGGGTTTCACGTTGGTAGCCTTTAAGAAGTTGGGTGTATCTAAAAAATAGGGACGTGATCGCATGCACATAGACCACACAATCAATGCAGAATATCTGAATTGATGGTTAGGGGAGACATTGCTCTTGCTATTTTTTACAAAGAGCAGTTTTTGCATTGTAATGTTCTGGTGATTTTGATGTTTTCCTTTTGTCTGTTTAACCTGGTGTTAACGGAAACTGAAATCCACGAATGTGAATCTATTAATAAATCTTGGGATTAAGTCTGACGCAAGATGAGTAACCATGGAGGTTTGTGGGAGAGAGAAAATCCTTTGTGGATTGAATAGAAGCCAATGTTTTGCAGACAGCCATTCACCTGTTAATTACTTCCTCCTCACTGTTTGAGGCCTGCTGCTGTTTGGCTGGTGGTGGTTTGGTTCCTTTCATGTGATGCAACCCGCTGGGATCTTCAACACATGCAATTGATTTATCCTATAATATCATGTTGTCTGGGTTAGCAATTGTATTAGTTCCTGCATATAACAAAACGCCTGAAACTCCTTTTTGTAGTATTCCACTACGGGAAGAAAAATCCTTGCAACAGTGCAGAATTTTTTAATCTGTGAAGGCTTCCCATGATGAGGATAGATTTAAGCGAGGTTTGCGGTAACATTCATGTCTGCTTTTAATAAGAGGGTGCATGGACAGTACAATAATACCACTACACACTCATTCTTATTCAAGGCAAGAATAATAGGGGAAAGGGGGTGAATGGGTTAAAAAAAAAGATTATGATGAATAGAATTCAGAGTTTGAATGGATGAGTCAGATGATGAATGGAAATGTAGCGGAGACAAATTCAATACTTTTTAATAAATATGTATGAAAGAACTAGATTTACATTATTGTGAGCTGGAGAGGTATTATGTTTCATTTCTTTCACTTCAAAGAATAGCTACTTATACAAACATACTCAAAATGTTCGTCTTGCACTCATTGGAGTAAATTGCAAGAGTTGCAATATATCTATCATCCTTTTAAGAGATATTATATTAAATTAAATTTACACAAAAAAGCCATTTGAATAGATAGAATTTAAGCTGAATTATAAAGAATGTAAATTGATATTTTTCCATAATTAATAAAAAAGAATGAGAAAGCTTTAATGGTTTTTCACATTTACCCAATCTGAACATTCTTTAAGTCTTCCATACCAGACACCTGTGGCAGGTGTTATACTAATGTTATTTGTTTTTGGGTGGAATCAAGTGGTAGTCATAACATCTATAAATAGTCTAACCCTGACAAGTTTGCATAAGAGATCAACAGCAGTTGGATTTATTTCTCTCTCTCATTTCCTCTTATGCAATGGGGCGTTGGAGGTCTTTGTATGAATTGTACTATCTAGTCAATTAGCTCATTTGTTCTTACCAGGAACATATCAGAGACTTTTAGTACTTTACTTTCCATTAAAAGGTAGATCGCTTGGTGTTACCAAGTTGAGAAAATGAAAGCCATCGAGGTTTAGCCCCTGTGTTATGTTTTATTATCAGCCGCATAGTTTTGTGCCAGCAAACTAAGTTTTTTTGCCATGCCTGATCTTTAAACATAAGATGTTTGTTTTGTCTTTGTGTTACAGATTAAAGCCTACGTTGACTAGGAAGGAGAAGAGGTATTTCAGTGAACAGAGGGATTATGTACAGAATCATGTCAAGAAAGCAAAGGTAAGCTAAGCACAATGTGTAGGGTTCTAGGTGATATAGATTGGATAAACATTCTATACACATTCATATACATACTTTAAATATTCAGTTTTAGAAATACTGTTCTATTTCATTCTTTCCTTCATTCCTCCATTCCTCCTCCATTCCTCCTCCATTCCTCTTCCATTCCACCTCCATTCCTCCTCCATTCCTCCTCCATTCCTCCTCCATTCCTCATCCATTCAATGTCCATAGAAAATTCATTTTACCTTTATTCTAATTGAATGCATGATGACTGGTTAAAACCTGTCTGCCTTGACTGATGAAGTAAAGCAGTCAATTGAGTACAGTCTTTTCATCTTAGTGGTGAGAAAGAATTAAGACCCTGTTTTACTATGTGGTGACTATTATTTATTGGAATTTGGAACCTTTTGGGCACTTTCCGCTTCACTATGAGGTATAAATGAATATGAAATTGTTTTAGTGCAAGAAACTTTTGAAAAAAATTATTCCTTTTAATTGCTTCAATCTCAGTTTACTTACCCCTTCTCATTTTTATCTTTGATCTACAGGAAAAGCTGTACACAGAATATCTGAACCAGTGTGTAGCCATCTCTGACCTCAGCTGAAGCAAGCTTGTGACTAGACCATCATCATCATTGTCGTAGCAGAGTACTAATCATTTCTACTGCGTGATATAATCGCACCATGATATTACAATCGCACCATGATATTACAATCACGCCATGTTTTTCTAGGGAAACTCTAGCAAAATTGCCTTGTAAGTTATATGGAATTGGACAGTACGGTGAAAAGCCAAGAAGAAATTATTTAAATGTTTTTAAAAAACTGATAGTAACAATAATGTAAGTGATACAGAAGACAACACAAGCTGAAACAATGAGGAAATTATGTAATAGAAATAATAGATGTATAGGCAAGGTTCTGTAAAATCAGGTTAGAGGGGTCATAAGGCTAACATTTGTAATCATCACACTACATTGCTTTCAGGAATTTTATTCCTTTCTGGATTTTCCCCTGGTTATTAGTTAAAAAGCACATAGTAAGAATATCATTTAGTCATCATTTTTGTATACAGAAACCCATATTTTCCACTTGCCAGTATTATTGGTGTAATAATGTTGAGAAATGTAGAAAATTCATTGAATCGCAGTATGTGTAAGCAGAAAAGCAGAAGTACTTCTAAAACTTAATTTGAGAAGATATGCTGCATATGATATTTATTTTCTACCACAGCTTCCGTAGTTCTCAAAATATTCATAAGCTAGGACTATTACTAAGGTAGTTGATTTTCAATCTTTTTGTTTTTGTTACCAAGATTTTAAAGATAGAAACTATGATATGATGAAGTCCCATTTTTTATTGATAATGGTTTGAAGAAGCTGACAGATGTATAGAAGGAATATATTTTAAAATGCTAATATTTTGTAACTATGGTATTAAATGAAAGAAACAAAATTAGGGGATACCAATGAAGATCTATGTAAAGATGAGAGGTGGTGAGAAAATGGACCAACAGTTAAAATATTTACACCTCGAAAAGGAATAAAAATCATTGTCCTCAGCTCCGACAGTCCTGAAAGTATTCTAATGAAATTTTAAGAATTCTATTGTTTCCCATGTTCAAATGATCCATTATTTTTTGTTATAATTTCGATTAAGAAGTTCAGAAACATCAGGTTTATTATTAATATAGCAATTTTTCTGAAGGAATTTTTATTTTGTTCAATAAATGCTTTGATTTAACTTTTGTGAAATTATGAATATTACATTATTTGTAGACATTCTTGCTATCGTTTCTCTTCATTACAATTCATTTTCCTCATTCAGGATATTTTTTTTTTTTAAAGTATATGATTCACGGCAGAAGAGTTTATGAATGTAATAGGTAATTTTATTTAATTTTATCAAATTGATCACTGAGAAATGAATTTAAAAAGAAGAGGTATTACTGTATAGAGATTTTCATATGGTAACTTGAATCGCACGACCAGGGTAAATATTGTTTTTGTAGTGCTGTTATATGAATTATTTTGCAGATACATTGTTTGAAATAATAATTTGAATTGAGAGTCCTCACGTGGCGTATTAATATTAAGTGCCTATTATTAAACAAAGTATTTGTACAGAGAAAGTATTTGTGAAAATTATGAAGTGTGTTCTCCATTTGATTTTTCATTCTAAAACTCTCATTTGTAATCCTTTCGACCTTCCTCACATTCTCCTTGTGATCACAAATCATACTGAATTAAGTTTGAATTCATTACAAATTAATTGCTCAATTTTTTTCAAAAGTATGAAAGGGAATTATATCATTCTTCTTCCATTAAAATAATATTTTCTATTGAGGTTGGAGCAAAGCTTCCCTTCCAGAAGAGGAATTTTCTTGATAACTACCGGTATCAAGTTTAAAATTTCCTCTGAACAGCATTGTTCTATCTCATTTATTAATGCATTGCTGTGCGCTATAGAAATGTAATTTTATTCGTTTGAATGACACACGGTTTTATTTTGTACAATGTGCCGCATCATTAGTGTAGGTACTATGGTTGATGTGTGTGATAGGTTTATTCTTGGTTGAATTACAGTTACCGGTACTTCTTTGTTTTCTTGCCCATATCAGAAAGCCTTTTGCAAAACTATTTCACAAGTATGAATTAGTCCAGTAGTTTTGCCTTGTTGCCTTTCTGGCTACTTTACTTCATGAATCTGTGTAATCCTCTTTTTTTTTTTAATGATTGTTTGACTGCCATCCTAACCTTGTCTTCATCAAATCTGATATCATTTCCATTTATAGAAATTACTGAAAAGCACATAGATGAAATTAAATGAAAGTGAAAAATGGTTATACTCTGGCCCCATCTATTGTCTTTGTGACGTCAACCTTATAGTCTCGTGTTGGTGATGCAATCATAGCACTTCTGTAGATGTGCAAATGCTACAGTCATGGAAAGTTGTGTAAGATCTACAACGTCGTGGTAACTTGTCTTGTGGTGGTGATGATGATGCTGACGATGATTATGGTGGTGGTGGTGATGATTGTTATACTGATGATGATGATAATAACTGATGGTGGTGGTGGTGGTGGTGGTGATGATGATTATGGTGGTGATGGTGATGGGTGATGTGGATGGTGATAAAATGAAATCATGGAAACATGTGTAAGATCTACAATGTCGTGGTAACTTGTCGTGTTGTGGTGGTGGTGTTGATTGTTATACTGATGATGATCGTGATACTGATGATGATTGTGATGGTGATGGTGATTGTGATACCGACGATGATAATGGTGACGGCCATTGTGATGGTGTTGATGATGTGGATGATGATAATGGTGATAAAAGGCCATGATCGTGGAAACATGTGTAAGGTCTACAATGTTGTGGTAACTTGTCTTGTGGTGGCAGTGATGATAATGTTGACGATGATTATGGTGGTGGTGGTGGGGGTTGTAATGGTGATGATTGTGATGATGGTGGTGGTGGTGATGAAAGTGAATGTGATTGTAAAGATGCTGGTGATTGAAGAAAAAAGCAATGTCCCTGCATGTAACAAATCTTAAAATTCTTCTTCTTCTTCTTGTTCTCCTCCTTCTTCTTACTTCTTCTTCTTCATCATCTCTCAACCCTACTCCTTAAATCTCTTTTTCTGAAACTCTCCCTCGGAGTTTCATTGTTCCCCTTTCTGTATTCCTATTCTTCATCTTTTATGTCATGTCTTTTTCGGTATCTCTACTTAATAATAATCACAATTAAATACAATTCTTGTATAGTGCATAACACATTACATAAGTATGTCCCCATGTGTTTGGGAAGAAAAGCAAGGAAGCAAAACGAAAATAGGTCATGGAGTCCTGTTTAATATCTGTTTAACATTTAGAATAAGTGTGTGTTAAAGGCAATTATATATACCTCTCTTTAGAAATCTAGCCATCTGATTGGTTGAAATTGGAGTCGTGATTTTAGCTATCCCCCTTAAGAAAAGGACAATGCTAGTAACGGTCAATAGTTCATGAGTGAGATTCCCGCAAGATTCGGGTACCAGGAAAATAGTTAAATTTTGCTGCGATCCCCATTGGTTAACATGTTAAAATTTTCTTTGTGCGAGCGCGGATACCATACATTGCTTTTTGTCTGCAATTTCCAAATATGTTTATAACATTCGGTCATCTTTCCATGAAAGATTAATAGACTGTGTCTCAGATTTTCTGTGATGTTTTAACCAATCTTTTACTCAAGAAAAGAATAAGGTAAGAATTCTTGGTAAATGTTTGTGTCAATTCTGTATATAAAAGACATATCGACTGCTTTAATATTCGAGGCCTGGCTGTTGGCTCTCGGGGACGTGCACATCCTGCCATGACCCAGAGGTGTGGGTGGCGCGTCTCGGGTCATGGCAGGATGTGCACGTCCCCTTGAGCCTATGAAACAGTCGGACCTCTAATGGCAGTCGATATGTCTTTTATATACCTATGATATTGTTGTATCAGTGTTTCTAAAAGAGTCTTGGAGGTCTTCCCGTAAAAGTAGGGAAGAATGGGCAAATGAAGATTTACCATATATTTTGTCATAGTTTACTCTTTCTCTACCTCTTTCTCTCTCTCACCCTCTGTCTCCCCCTCTCTATTTTTCTTTCTCTCTACCAACTACCCTCCCTTCCTCTTTATTTCACCCTCTCTCTCTCTCTCTCTCTCTCTCTCTCTTTTAACGTGTTACGTTCATCACAATTTAGAATAAGTTAAATACACACAATTATAACAAGACCAACTATTTCAGATATTTTCTATATCATTTATTTCACAGATCACTTTCTGAACTTCTCACTCTTTTCATCTATCTTTCTATTTCCCACAACCGAAACAAACAAAAACATACAAAAACATACAAGGAAACAAAACATAGATTACCTTGAAATACCTCTGAGTGCAAAAAGTGGCTGTTTTACATGAAAGTGCCAAAAGACTTTGTAAAACTATTTCAAATGAGAATGATCTCTCTGCTAGAGCAATAACTTTCACATGCTACTCTTGTAATCTTTTCTCTGGTAAAAGTTATTTACAACACAAATATACATACATGTGCATTTCTATGACAAAAATAGGGAACATATTCATTAACATAATAATCTTCTACAGTATACTCTGATATTGCAAATATAATCTTTGATATATATATCTTCACATATATATATACTAACGAAGCAAGCGTACAATATACAAAAATAACAGTAGATTACATAAAAAATATGTTGATTTCAATTACACATGTACACTCATATTATCCATCCAGTGTAGTAATAATTACAAGAACACACTTTCACCAATGTACATGGAAATAATACATGTACAGTTATCATGTAAACACAAACTCTAAACTTTTCTCAACAAAAGCCACAATCCATTCTCGCTTGATGGAATAAGCTCATCGATATTTACCATTCATATATATTTCTGCTTTCCTGTTTCTTAAGTCAATCACATAAGCCTTCAAGCATTTCTTACATGTATATCATCTAGCTCTTTCCATCGTTCCACATTCAATTTATACACAACTACAAAACATCTCCCCCTACATTAAAAGTATTACATGTACTACAACATATGGTTATTTATCCATTCACATATATGTTGAACCAACAACATATTATACTGGTACATGTACAAACAATTAGCTCTAACACATGTATGTTGAGTTCCTCAACTCTAGATTTTAATCTCGAAGATCACATTAATATAATTCCAATTAAAATATATTTCCTTGTGACATTTATACTTATCATACACAACTGAATCAAATATGTTGTACATAAACTATTACTTCAAAAAGACAAATAAGGATATAAATGTCAGTAAACTTTTGTCATCTTTGTGTTTATTTTAAGGAAAAGACTAGAAGGAGAAAAGCAGGCAAGGGATTTAAGCGATATGCCCGTATTTTCATTATCTTATTAGAAACTCTAAAATAATCTGTGGAAATACATTATTACATTTCCATTTGGTCCACTGGAACATTATAATTTCACAAAACTTTTGTTTTAAAGAAGAAATTCCAATTTGTCTCTTTGTTTAAAATCTTTCAGTATAGAAATAGGCATAAACGTCCTGAAGACATCTATTGAATGAAAGGGGGTAGAATAATACAATTATTTTCTGGTCACAATACAAGTTCAGCTAAATGGTCTCATTCAAGATAGGACACACTGCACTCACTTTAGAAATGGTGCCAACCAAAATTCCAGACACAGGCGGGGAAGGGATTTGTTTAAAACAGATATTATTAACGGGGGATGCATGAACATCAATGCAAACAGTCTACAAGTCAAACATTGATACACTTAACATGTAAATAAGGCAATTATTCATGTAAAATACATGTTTTTTTAAAGCTTTCATCTTCATCGATTAGAAAAAAAACTGAAAATTATGTTGGAAAAGAAGAATATCAAAAAGTCACACTGATTGGATGGATGGAGATTGTGTGCTCACCAGGGGGGCGTTTCACAAAACTTGTCATCAGTGACAAATGACAATTTGTGTTATAAGCTACTGAAATCCTTGGTTCTGATTGGTTATCAGCAGATTTGTCTCTGATTTTTGTAATTTGTTATTGAAAAAAGGCTTTGTGAAACTGGTACCATAAGAAGGTTTGAAAGGATATTCCTAATGCACTAAACCATTTAGGAGTACTCCTACTAACACCCATCAATAGAGTACACACGGAAAAGAAACAAAGATTGTTTTTTTTTAAAATCTGCAGTATGAGATTAATACTGTGTAGGTTCTGAATGTGAAAACATTGGACTGTAATTCACCATCATGTTCTAAGATTACAATGACGGAATGAAACGAGGATGGGAAACATTAATGAGAGTCAAATATTTGTGCTTGAGCAATGTGTGCTATCAGTTGTCACAATCATTTTCAGCTACTGTAAATACTATACTTGTGCATGTACACCAAATATATTCATGTAGTTGACATGGATATTTACCAACATCAATCATTTATAACCCCTTCCGAAGAAGCTACATGTAGTTTGTATACCTCAATGATTCATACTTGCTATGAAAGAAAATACAGTAATAATATTGATGATACAGACAATTTCAGTTTGTAAACATAACAACAAACATGTATCAAATTATGCTTTCATTACATACAACTACATGTATAATGTAATTATTCAGTTGCTTTATAATTAAGTGTTCTTTTCTCCTTAACAAATATTTCAAATTGAGAGGGGTTATCTACATGTAACCCTGCTGCATTGAAGCTGTTATGTATGCCACAACAGAGGGCAGCAGACATCATTTCTGACGGAGGACAGAGGAAATATAAGAAATAATTTGGGCATTGCCAATGCATTTATAATTCATGGTAGGTAAAGTGAGGAGAATTAACACATATTCTTTATCAAGGGCTTTCATGTTTTTATGAATGAAATATACTATAATGAAAATACTCACTCTGTAACATATCATGCTACAAAAGCAATATCCATTGAATTTACAATTTCTCTGATATAAAGTTGTAATTTTTCTTTCAAGTTTAACTCTGAATTTGGAGGACAAAAATTATGTCATTTATTTTGATTACCATAAGTATATTTGCTTCTGAATCTAACCCAAATTCAAAATATAACACATATCTTCTTCACTTGACAACTTCATGTAAAAAAATTCCCCTCCCAAATTGACTACAGCAAATTTAATGACCATAGAATAAATTCTTCAAGTTAATTATTAGTCTACAAAGGGTTCATACATGTACATGTCACTTTATAAGTTTATACTACTAAAGATACATGTACATATACATGTACATGGAAGATCCTATTATTTAACATATGC